GGATATCCAGAATTAAACCTTGCTTTTGCATTCCGGCATGCTCGTCTTTGGTGGTCTCTCTGGGGGTCACGATCTGGGCACAACAGTACCACCCGCCATTTTTCCATTTTTCAGGCTGGAGCACCTCTTGGGGACTCTTCACCCCACCGGATCGGCAAGATTCCTCCCTCCACTTCCGGCCATTTTCCCCACAAGTGAGGACTCGTCTTGTTTAGCTCGGTGGTACTACATGTCTTTTGGGCATATGGAGATGGCCTGTGCCCACTGTATTCCGCAGCCTATAGCCTTTGTGATGACAGTCCATTGCGCCGTTCATTAGTCCTTGCAGATTCTCCGGGACGCTGGAGGTCAGATTTGTCTTGTGTCACTTGCTGGTTTCACGTGTCTTTCGGGCTCATGCCCCTTTGGCCCCATCCCTATGCGACGGCATATGGAGACGGCCTGTGCCCTCTCAATTCCACGACCATAGCCTTTGTGACAAAGGTCCATTGGCTATATTGTGCCATTATCGTTGGCCCTTGATGACCCTCTGGGATGCCTGAGGTCAGTCTGATGGACCTTCTACCTCCTTGTGGAAAAATGCTCCTGTACCCTCCCCCCACCCCACCCCCACTGCTGACGACCCATGGCTTGGGTTTGTTCCCCTGTGGGATCCGCCCAACTCTGCCTCCAGATGCTGGGATTAAGGGTGTGTGCCACCACCGCCTGGCCTGACTTTTTTTTTTTTTTTTTTTTTTTCGAGACAGGGTTTCTCTGTGTAGCTTTGCGCCTTTCCTGGGACTCACTTGGTAGCCCAGGCTGGCCTCGAACTCACAGAGATCCGCCTGCCTCTGCCTCCCGAGTGCTGGGATTAAAGGCGTGCGCCACCACCGCCCGGCATGGCCTGACTTTTAAAAGCTTCAGTTTATCTCTTCCTTATCTGCTCAGTTTATTTTGGGAAACAAAGCCCCACATGAACATGTGGTCAGGCGCCATATTTGATAGGGGCGATCATATGATCAGGTGTTGCCATCTTAAATAAGGGCAATCACATGATCAAGGCACCATTAAATAAGGGCAACCACATGGTCTAGCCGCCATCTTGGCTAATGTTAAAACAGGCAGGCCATGTTACCTCCCTGTCTTCTTTACTGAGGGCAGCATGGGCTTAGTCAGTATGGAGGGAGGTTAGGGAATCGCCTCCCACCTTGTTTCATCGTTGTTTTGCAGGCTGAGGAAAAGTCCTCCGGCCTTGGCCTGGATTTCCCCAGCTGCCTCTCAGGCTCCAGCCTTCTGGGTGCAGTGGAAGTTCAGTTGAAGCCTGCTGTTCATTCCTCCACAGCTGCTTGTGTGGGCAGGGCCCAGAGACATATGCGCTCCCCTCTGGGGCATCCGTGTTACCACACACAGGCAGTATCATTGTATTAAGATATTAAATTTCAGATTTAAACATTAATTCTGATACACTTTTGGGGCACAAGCTCAGGATTTTAAATTTTCCTTGGCTACTCATTACCTGCTTTTCCATGATTCAGATTTCAGTGTTGATTGATAATACTAATTTATCTAAAACTTTATTTTTTTCCTCACTTGTCTATTCCTAACGATGGTAATTTTCTCTCTCCTGGTCTTGGGACTCCTGCTCTTCTCAATTTACTAAGACCATGGGCCAAAAGGCTCCAAATAAATTAATAAATTTTAAATCTCATCTCCAGTCTATATCTCAGCAGGCTGTCAGAAACACTGAAGCAGCAGTTGTGGACCACAACCTGCAGCGCTTTCCCTGCTACGGATGTCAGCAGAGACTCTTATCCTTGTGATGTGGACCCCAGCCCAGCCAATTGTAATTGTTCCCTGCCTCTACAACCGGGTCAGATGACCACATGCCTGAGTTCCCCTTACCTTTAACTAGTCAGAGTCCTCCTGACCACCTGTGCCGTTTCAGCTTGGAGCAACTATGGAGAATGTGTCATCCTGTGCTCCCTGTTCCCAGGACAGGCTGGAGGGCTAGGTTAGGGATGGAAACCCCAGCATGGAGTCCACCAAGAGGGTCCTTGTCTCAGAGCTGGGCTGCACCCTGACTCACAAGCCCCCTTTCTCCTGTTCTCATTCGGCCTTGGGATCTTTCCCTGTCACTCTTTTTTTTTTTTCCTTCTCAGCAGACAGCTTAAGAAATGATTATTTCTATATGAGTCATTCAGGATTGTAATCTGGCTGTACTCAAAGATCAGAACTACAGCTACAGGTCCTTAAAAATGGTAATAGATTCAGATATAACTGCCAACAGCTTAAAGAATGTCTCTCCTTACTCAAGGTCTATTCAGGCTTAAGAATGTGAACCTCCCTGTCCTTGCTAATTTCATTAAGCTGTAACTAACTGGAAAACTTGTATATTCAGATTTAAGTCATATGTATGCTCTCAAAGTTATATGTCTAACAGATTTTGTTCCCCTAGTCCTCAAACACCTGTAGAGATCTGAGAATATGGCATTTAATATAAAAGCCTTTTTATGATAAAGAGACATGTCAGCTCCTGGCAGCATCCTTTATTTCCTTCAAGAAGATGGATGGCCACAGAAGAACTTCCACTTGGAAGCTTATGGCAAGGCCGGCCATGCAGTGAGAAGCTGAGATCCTGTCCAGACTGTGAATAAGTGGAACAATGGAGGACGGATTGCCCCATACTGCAAAGCCAAGGTGGGTCAGTCTCCTCAAATCTCTACTCGACAGAAAAAAATCTGTCAGATCTTCTGGGCCTATCAGCTGAACAACTGCTGCCTTGGGGCATATATAATTACAGACAGCTATGCCTCATTCGCAGACTTCATGGTACAGGATAGACTGGTTTCAGATATAACTCCAGAGGTTCAAAGTTTTAATACTGATAAATGATACACGGATAGACAAAGAGTTCTTAAGAGTCCTTAAATGGATTTTTAACCCTTTTGCCACGATGTAAATCCATTCCAGCTGTCTTACAGACACCTACAGGCTCCTGGGAAAAGTTTTGCTACTGCGTCAAGGAACCTGTTCTGATGAAAACTAACATCTCCAGAGCCCATTTCTGACCCCACCTATTTTTCAAGCATATTTTGCAGATTCATTGTTCCCACCTCACCTCCAGAGAAACAGCAGATGCCATGGCTTCTCTACTCCTGATTTGGCATGCCATTTCCCATTCCCCCAAGCTCCCGGACCACCACTGCTGCAACCTGTCTCCTTGGCTCCCTCATGGAATGTCTCTGAGATCTTCCACTGTGTGTGACTCCCGGTTCCCCGCTCCCTACTTCACCCCTCGTCAGCTTGAAGTAGCCTCGAGAATTCAGCGCCCTTGTTCCCCCACTTGCTTCCATAACTCACCTCTTTTTATAGTAATCAAAATGGAGGAATGTTAATCTTCTGATCCGCCCCTTGAAATCCCACCCCCTTGGTGCTGCCCTGTGTCCTGACGTAGAAGCCTCATTCTAAGGAAAAACTCCTCCCCTTTTTCTCTCTCACTTCTGCTTTTTCCTCCCATGAGGCGCATACTCACTCTCTCTCTCTCTCTCTCTCTCTCTCTCTCTCTCTCTCTCTCTCTCTCTCTCTCTCCTATCTTTCTCTTCATCTCTCTGTTATAATAAACTCTCCACATGGATGCAGCATCTGCCTAGCCCTGCATTCGTGAGGTACCCTCAGGGTTCCCCCAAGCAATAATTCATAACACTTTCTATGCACTAATCTACTGGGGAACCCTGAACGTAACTAACATAATTTGCAGACTACCCAGATCTACTGGGGGACCCTGAACCAAAGGAAAGCTCCTATCACACTCTATCCAGATCTACTGGGGGACCCTGAGCCAAACCAATATATTTTCCACACTACCCAAATCTACTTTGCACTTTGAAGATTCTGGTACACTGGTTATTCAGACCTTCCAAATTTTATTACACAACATTTAAAAATCACATTTGTAAACCAGATCTTACCAAAAATCTCTCAAGTTATAAAAAACAAATTCACTGTGGTGAACACTAGTTTTCCAAAGTGATTATTTTTACTTGAAAACTCAAAATTTCACCTTGGTAATAAATAATGTCACTGTAGTTTTCTCCTGATATGGCAGGTTTCCCTTTGTTTTCCAGAACATGTTTTTTAAATACCAAGTCTGAATAGCTGGCTTGTCCATGTAAGTAGATTCTATGAAAACAGTGGCCATCACCAAGAGCTCTCCCTGGCTGGGCAGGGGTGGCGCACGCCTTTAATCACAGCACTTGAGAAGCAGAGCCAGGCGGATCTCTGTGAGTCTGAGGCCAGCCTGGTTTACAGAGTGAGTTCCAAGACAGCCAGGGCTGTTTTGAGAGAAACTTGTCTTGAAAAACTAAAACCACACACACACACACACACACACACACACACACACCGAAACACAACACAACAAAACAACCTCTCCCTGGACACAGGGCAGTGCTGTAGCATGCAGAAGTGGTGTGGTCTATGTGGTCTTGCTGTTTGTCAAAAGGTTGAAAAATATGCATTTGAGGGCTGAGACAGAACAATCCATGATATCGTACTATGAAAAGCCATAACCTCATAGATCTCCAGGGAGGGTCTGAGGGATGCTAAAAATCCACAAAGGATGTGCTATTAATGCTGGGCTCGAGTAAGAGAATTTCCTTTTTTTTGGACAAAGACCTCTAGGTAGCCCAGGTTGGTCTTAAATCTTTAATCATCTGTGCCTCCTGAGTGTCGGGATTATAGGTGAGCAACACCACACATGGCGATGGGAAAACATTTTCAATTGTATACATTATTTTTTAAAGGCAGTAGCTATGAGAATTAAAAAAAAAAAAAAAAAAAAAAGACAGCCCCAGAGAAGCTAGGTAACAAGGAGGACCCTAAGAGTGACGCATAGATTTCCCTGGGAAGGGAAGAGATGAAGATCTCCTATGTAAACTGGGGGGAGGGAGGTATAGACGGATGGGAACATGAGGGATCAGTTTGGCCCAGTTGGGGGAGGGACGGAGAGGTAGAGCAATGAAAGAGATATCTTGATAGAAGGGGTCATTTAGGGGTTAGGGAGAAATTCCCAGGAAATCACAAGGATTACCTCGGCTAAGACTCCTAGCAATAGTGGAAAGGGTGCCTGAACTGGCCTTCTCCTGTAATAAGATTGGTGACTACCCTAATTGTCAACAGAGAGCCTTCATCCAGTAACTGACGGAGGCAGATGCAGAGAGCCACAGCCAAGCACTGGGCTGAGCTCCTGGAGTCCAGTTGACAAGAGGGAGGAGGGACTGTACAAGCAAGGCGGGGTCAAGATCATGAAGGGGAAACCCATAGAGACAGCTGATTGAGCTAATGGGAGCTCACGGACTCTGTATGATAGCTAGGGAGGCTGCATGGGACTGACCTAGGCTCTCTGCATGTAGATGACAGTTGTGTAGCTTAGTCTGTTTGTGGGGTCCCCAGCAGTGGGATCAGGACCTGTCCCTGGTGCATGAGCTGGCTTTTCTGAACCTATTCCCCATGAAGGATGCCCAGCCCAGCCTTGACGCAGGGGGAGGAGCTTGGTCTTGCCTCCACTGCTCCTTGTTTACCCTAGTGGTTCCACCACAAACTACAACCAGCCCAGCAAAATATACTATCACAGTAACAGAATACCTATAAGATATACATTTAAATAATAAGCTAGGTCATACATTGTAACTATAACATCACACTTTGAAAATGAATTATTTAGCGTCTACTAGAGCTTGTTTTTTTTTTTTTTTTTTTTTTTTTTTTAAGGAAAACACAGTCCAGAATTATCTCTACCTCTGAAATCTTAATGCTAAAATAGTAACATAGTTTCAAACATCCTTCCTCATGTTAGTAGCTATTACTTTATTAACTTACCCAGTATTTTGCTGTTGCATTTCCAGACAGAGTTTCACTATGTAATCCCAGGTGTCCTGGAACTCACTATGTGGACCAGCCTGCCTCTGCCTCCCAAGTGCTGGGATTAAAGGTGTGCACCACCACACCTGGCCTACTTATCCAGTATTATAATGAAAATGAATGTTAAAACTTAAAATAAAAATCTTTGGTCAATTTGGGAACTTTTTAAAAAATTAAATGTATTAATTTGAGTACTTAAACTTTCAGGAATAGCAATCAGTCAGATGTCTATTTATAATATCTAATTTATTTAATTATACATGCTTATTTTAAAATAACAATATGTATAATACAATAATACAAAATATTGCTTTCCCCCATTCTCACATGAAATAACATTTCTCTTCAAAACTCCATAAGCATCTTATGCACCAGTGTCTTCCTATTTGCAGCTAGTTTCTTGAAGTAGATCTCCTTGGCTTGCATCGAAGTCATTCGGAGATACAACACCTTAAAGATACATGCCTGACACTCTTCCATGGAGTCTGGACCAAGCTGTCAATCAGAACTCTCCTCCTCACCCTTGACTTATCCTGAGGGTATTTGTAATCCTCATCACAAAACCACTTGCTTATTGCTTTTGAAATAGCTCTTTGAAAGGTTGGTTTGAAAATGTACTCCTGTAGTAGCGAAGGGATGTTTCCCTGGAATAAGTCTCTCTACCCTGCCTTTACAAATAACAAGACAAAACAAAACAAAAACAAAAACACAACACCCCTCCCAATTCATTCCTGTAGGAAAAACCTAGAACCTACACAAAACTTGCCTTGCAGAGGCCAGTGTGGGCTAAAAATATGCAGTCACCAGAGGCGGAACAGTTTCAGGAAATGGCAGGCTTAGTTACAGGAGCATGGTAGAGGTGGAGACCAAACTGTTGGGCTGTCATAGACTGTGATGTTTCTTGAGATGTAAACGAAACTGTGAAGAAAGCTGGGAATGGTGTATCAAAAACTCTTTTGGGGAAGGGTATCAAAAACTCTTTTGGGGAAGGGGAGAGAGACATTCCCTCTATTCTGCAGTAGCTTGGAGCTGGCCAGATCGCAGAGAGGGCAGCCTCCCAAGCAGCAAGGGCCTGAATGTGTATGTCTCACCAATCAGGAAAAGGTGTTCATGGATGTTCAGCATGCTGATGCTAAGTCCTGGTTCAGTAAGGGGAGCTGGGAATTGTCTAAGCGCATCAGGACTGTGAGAAAAATGGAATCAAATAGAGGAGCGATGTGCAGAATGGGCAGATTCTAGAGAATGACTGAGCTGGTTAGAAGTTTACAAGTGAAAAGATAGAGAAATCCCCAACAGGCTCCTCCCTCTTTCAAAACATATACTGAATTGTCAATATTTGTTTTCTAGGCTGTGGGACGTCTGCCCAGGGAACTGATGAACAGCTGGGAAACAGAATAGCCCCAAGGGTAAAGAACTGGAGAAGAGGATGAAGAGCAGGAGGAAAAGGAAAATGAGACACCAGCTGTCTATGGAATGATAGTCAGCACAGGAGAACAGGCCAGGAAGCATGGGCAAGATCTCAGAGGGCAGACAGAATCAAGGAGCTGAGAGACAAACAGGAAAGAAAGACCGAGGAGTGATGTTTGGATGTTCTTGGCTTTGATAAACATCTGAACACTAACGAAAGATGATAGGTGCCTTCCTCAGGGAGTCAAGAGTAGGAATTATATTACATTTCTGTGTAGCATGTTACTTTCAAAAAACCAGAATGAAAATAATTATTTCCCTAGCTGCGGTGATTTTAAGGCAGAGATTCTCAAAACTGTAGTCTTAGCAGCAGCAGCTGGAATGACAATCTGCTGAGAATGAGAACTCTCAGGTCCCACCCAGACCTACTACATCAGAAACCTGAAAGGTTAGTCAGAAAAGGCAGCCAATGCGCTACCAAGTCTTCCTGGGGATTCAGGTGCACACTAAAGCTTAAGAACAGTGCTCCTCAGGCTGGGCATGCAGCTCGAATGGGGACAGCCTTGCCTAACATGTCCAAAGCCCTGAGCTTGATTATCAGCACTCCATAAATGTGTGTTTTTACATGCCTGCAGTGCTGTCTTGGGAGGCAGGAGATTAAGGAGTTCCAAGTCATCCTCTTCCACACAGGAAGTTGGAAGCCAGCCTGTGTGCTTAAGACTGCCTCAAGACAATAAAAAACAAAACAAAACAACCCAGTGCTTTAAGGTGTGGATGGAATCCTTTTCCTTCCGTCCCTCCCTTCCTTTTCTTAAGACAAGGGCTCTACAGCCCAGGATGCCCTTGCTATACAGCTGAGGATGACCTTTAACTCTAGATCTTCCTGTTTCTATCTCTTAAGAGCTGGAGTTACAGATGTGTACTACCACACCCAGCTTCAGTTCTTCTTTAACCTTTGACATCTGCTATACTAGTCAGTGATGAGTGCCGGCTTCTGTCACAGCAATGGGGAAGAGGGCTACCTGGTTTGTCTCTAGCTGTGTGATCCTAGAGACTCCTTTATCCTTCCAGCTTTAGTTTCATTTATTAATGTAAGAGAGAAAAAAGTACTTACCTTATAAGACTGCCATAAGGATCAGACCATGCTTAGCATATCTAAGTGGTCAATTACGCTAGTTATTATTACCATCAATAAAGAAGTATCACCAAGCCCACCACTTCATGGAGTAGTTCGATTCCCAGCTAGGTTTCTCCAAGTCCATGATTTTGCATCATGTGTACGTGATACACTTATATTAGTCTTCATGTTTCTAGATTCTAAGAATTAACATGTCCCAAAGTTCTGCAAAGAACCTTAAGGTCAAGGCCAATCCTACACTCTCTGTTCACTGTCCTGTTCATAAGGCTGTTTATAACCTGTTGAACACGTGCTCAAGCGCCCAAACATATACCCCTTTGGCTAGTAAATGGAGTAGTGTAGTGACTGGTCCTCATGTAGTGGTGAAATTGGGAAGGTATGGAAGAGTGTTGACTCCCAATAGGGTTCTAGGTGGTAAAGGAATTAAATCTTGATCCAAAAAGCCACCGAAGTAAAAAATACTAGTATGTATTTTATTAATTGGTGCTAGGGATGAAACCTAGAGCCCCATATATACTAAGTATGGGTTACTACCACTGGGGGGGTTGGGTGGGGAGAAACACCCTAGGCCAGCATGTTTTTGATGCAACTTTCAACTTCTGGTTCCTTCTTAGTAGAATCTGAGCTCCAGGGAAGTTAATCTTATTTTCTCCTCTCTCACTGAACTATAAATAGTATCTACTGAGTAAGCACTCACCAAACTCGTAGTTCATTAGGAGGAACAAAAGCTGCTCAAATCGGGGTATCTTTGCTGAGCTTCAGTGGCTACCACTTAGAGCTACTGCAGTCTGAAGGGTCTCAGGCAGGCATTTCTTTCTTTTTTTTTTTTTAAATAATTTATTTACTTTTATTTCATTTGCATTGGTATTTTGTCTGCATGTATGTCTGTGTGAGGGTGCCAGATTTTGGAGTTACAGACAATTGTGAGCTGCCATGTGGCGCTGGGAATTGTACCCGAATCCTCTGGAAGAGCAGTCAGTGCTCTTAACTGCTGAGCCATCTCTCCAGCCCCAGCAGGCATTTCTTTTAGCTATAAACTATTCTCATTTTACATTATGTGTACATATGTCTATCTGTATGTGGATATGTGCATGTGAATGTAGGTGCACATGAGGGCTAGATGTGCCGGGCGGTGGTGGCACATGCCTTTAATCCCAGCACTCGGGAGGCAGAGGCAGGCGGATCTCTGTGAGTTCGAGGCCAGCCTGGGCTACCAAGTGAGTCCCAGGAAAGGCTCAAAGCTACACAGAGAAACCCTGTCTCGAAAAAAAAAAAAACAAAAAAACAAAAAAACCCATGAGGGCTAGATGTGAGGGATCCCCCTGGAGCTGGTGGTTGTGAGTCACTTGACAAGGGCAGTATACTGCTGAGCCTTATCAAAACAAAGCTGGCCTCAAATCTGTGATCCTTCGGGCCTTAGCCTCCTGTGTTCTGGGATTACAGGTGCCAGCACACATGGTGGCTAGTGCCTCTTTCACAACTGGGGGATGGGTTCTTACTATGATTCAGGCAGAGGTCGATTTGGGATCATTATTAGGGACCAGCCTGAAGGCACATTCCAAAAGTGGTCTTGGAAACCTGACACCAGAAGAAAAGCCAGTTGAATGAGATCCTCACCTCTCATTCATCGTTGGGAAATAGCTTAACCAACTCCAAGGTTTCTTTGCACCCTCCTACCCAAGCTTCAGGTTCCTTGGGTATCAATGTATCACCTTTAGGCAAGGGGCTTAATGCATCCTGTTCAAGTTCTACAGCATCTTTATAGTGTATCAGATTAGGCCACTTTACAATGAACCAAGGATACATGCACAAAGTGCCAAGGCAAGAACACTGATCTTCCTGTGTACCCAGGTAGGCCCTCCCTAACCAGACATCCTTGGAACCTTCGCTCACACCAGTACCTTAAATGCCCTCTATGGTCTTCCCCCGTCCAGAGCACAGCACCATTCTTCCTACTCTGAGCCACTCCAGCCCCTGCCCAAGCAAGGGTTCCTTAGTGCCCACCTGGAAAGGACTCAGAGGGTAGGACACCTATTGATATGACCCCCCCCAAGATTTAGCCTTGAAGGGTTTTAGCAAGCAGTTTACTTCTTTATGGCTTCAGCCGAAGGTCAAAGGTGTGGCTTAGTATGTAGATGTGCCCAACACCTACATCTTGAGTTGCCACTACTCCTACTCCAAGTGTGTACTGGGCACATACTAGTTGAAACGCTTCCTAATTCTGGACTTAGTATACAGCTAAGAGTGCGGAGTCAAGCTTATTCTCAGGCAGAGTATGGGGAAACATGAAGAGGCCCTGGCCAAGGAAACATGGGTTCTGATGGGGACCATGCTGCAATAGGCCAGGGGCCTTTCTAAGGCCGGAGTACCTTCTCACTAAAAGGATCGAGTGTCTTAGTTCCAGGAGGTTAGGATTCCATTTTGACAGTATACATGAGATGACTAAGGAAGGCTTATTACAGAAAAATTCTGCTCCAAAATGTCACAGTAATTATGATTTAGAGAGCTGTGGTAGTACTTTAATCAAGAGCCTTTCTGTTGCATGTAGTAACAAGTCACTTCAGATCATGTTAAAGAAAAATCCAGATGCACTCTAAGCATCCCCAAGGATGAATGAAGACCAAGGCAAGGGATACAGGACTGGAGGAAGAAACCAGGCAATTTCCAGGCTTAACAAAGCCTCCTGCTTGTTCACCAGTGCCAACTCCTGCCATGTGAAGTACCCATCTAAGTCATCCTCCAGGTCATCTTTCCTCATGGTGACCAACATCTCCTTCATGCAAAAGCCTTAAGATACAGAATCATCTTGGGGCATTTCAACGAGTTCACCTCAGCTTGACCAGCTAGCATGCTGGAGAAGAGTGTACAGGGGGAGACAAGACAGCCACTGAGGTGCTGAGTCAGGCAGGCTCCACGATGCCTTTAGAGACACAGTTGCTACATCAGCTGCTTAACTGTTGATATTAAAACGAACCAGCAAAGAAGCCTGGTGTGGAGGCTGGGCCTGTAATCCCCAAATTTTGGGAGACTGAAGCCTGGACTACAAAGTGAAACCTTGTCTCAAAAACCTGAAAACAGCAGCAATGAAGTGTGTAACTTTCTACAGTTCAGTGTGACCCCCTTCTCATAAAGTATCTACAGAACAAGGCAAAAGCTCCAGCAGTGTAAACCATTTACACGTCAGGAAGCCTGAATGCATACTGGAACCCAAGCAGAAAAGGCTGCTTCCTGTTTCACTGCTTCACGGGACTTGGCTGACGCCTGCTTTTCACGCTCATCATATCCTACAGGAATGATGAAGAAAGGCCCAATTATAATGCTGTCACACCGGCACTGCTACGCTGACTTTTAACAACCTGCTGACATTCACCTGCCTCTTTAGACTTAAAAATCCTGCCAGGGAATCATTTTGTGGATACAGTGCAGAGACCCTGGAACCCGGTGGGTGTTCAATGTTAGGTCAATCTTATGCTAATTTTAAAATGAGAATAAGGATCTAACATATATAGTTGGTCTAATCTCTTTGAGTCACTCTGCTTCCATACCTCACAATAGACAGAGCAGAAATAAAACCAACCTCAATTTTGCTCATTTCCCCTTAGACATAGCTTATAAATACCGACATCTCTAGCTCAGAAGCACAAAATACATACAAAGAAACCACTAGAAAGTATTTTAACAAAAACCACTAGTTTAAATAGCCTAGAGTATCACAGAAATTTCTACTCTAAAACATGCAGAGGCAGGAGGAGTCACCCAGAATCACATTTTACTCTATGACCTTTATATTGCTTTTCACTTGAAAGTTTGAAGCAATGTGAAATGGGTAGAAATACTTTGCTAAAAGAACAAAATAAACCACCACTGCACATATATTGATAAAAACCTTTTACCTATGCCTACATCCAAATATAAGACTATGTCCAGTAGTAGAGCATATTCTGAGGTTTTGTAAAGCAAATGGAAATATTAGGAAGGGTCAATAGAAGAGCCATAAATGCCCTGAAAGCAGGAAGTTGACACCATTTTAAATATAATTCATATATATATATATTTAAAATCAAACACAATTAAATAGAATATGGTTTAAGTACATGAATACTTCAGAATAACAGAGTTGGTACATAGTACCAAAAACTTATACACAGCCTCTTTGCTTCTTCTGTTGATAAACAGTGTGCCTCTATACAATCAATATTGCAATGAAATAAATTCTCTATTCATTCAAGACTTTCCCAAGGACAGAGGTGATTAATAATATATATATATATACACACACACACACATATATATATATTTTCTTTTGCACACTGAGCAAAAGCAATGACACCTAAGAAAACTTCCGTTCTCTCTAAACTCACACACAGGAAGCACTGGCAGCATCACGTGGCCAGGGGAGTGTGCTTGCCAGCGGGTGGCCCACCAATGGCAGAGCCACCGGTGCAGAGCCAACTAAGCGGCAGGGCAGCGAGTGAGTTTCCTACTGTCTGAAGACAGAAAGAGAAAAGGCAACTGCACATTTCCCACTCACAGTGAAGAACTGGGGAGACACTACAAAGCGAGTACTTCTTTCCCCCACCTTATTAGAAAAATAAAATCTGAGAATGTGTTCCAAGTACCACATGGCAAAAACTGGAGTGATACTTAATTTTTTCCCATGTGTATTCCGAAGAGGGAATAAAGTATCTGGAGCACGGCATTCCTATGGAGGAATGGGTCTTGATGCTCAAAGTAAGCTAAATGTGCCCTTTTGCTAGCAGAGGAGAAACTAGCTTTAAGGATATAATAACATCACAGGAGTGAGTGAAATGTGAAAATTGTGTTCTGTCACCAAAGAGAAGGATGACATCACTGAGGCTTGACCCATGACTTGTCAGCTTCTCTCTAAATGCATGCCTCTGTGAAGGAAGACTACACAAGGGATCTTCGTCACCTGCTTCACAAGCTGCTGGCCCATATCGCCACTTGGAGCTGTATGCTCCAGGTAGGACTGACTCACCTGTGAATTTTAGGACAAAAACAAGCACCTCTGTCTCGTGCTTTCTGATACTGCTAAGGATGGAGTCGGCTGCAAGCATGTGGACCACACACCAACTCACGCTTCTCTGCCTCACAGGATGTGGTCCCTGTCTATTCCAGTGGGTAACTCTCTCATAGCGGGTTACAGCTACTGGAAAACGAATTGTCTAGTAATGTCACCAATGCCACTCTATATCTTGTGACTCACTGTGTTACCATCATGTGCATCTATGTCTACATTTAACAACAGATCTTGGACTGTCTTGCATTCTTTCTTGGAAACAACAGTGATCTAGAAGTGGAAAGAAATGCAGTGCTCCATTTTCATCAGCTGTGTTGAAGAATCCAACCAAAGGGAAAAGTTCTTATTTTTCAAAATCACATTTTCTTATCTCTGGTTTTGAGTCACAGCTGGGAAAAAAGAAAACAAAAAGAAAAAGGTAAGGTACATTTCTGGAGTAAGTGATATATTATCAGCACAGATAAAAGAAGTGCCCAGCATGTACACGGTGCTTCCTATGTGCCAGAGCTTAGGGCACAGCTGAGTACTTTCTTGTGAGGCAAAGCATTAACCATGCTCAGATATCCCAAGTCAACTGGAGCTTAAAGAAGCTAAGAACTTGCTTTTACTTTTCTGTTTGGGCAATGGTTATTAGAATGAAACCATTCATTTTTCTCTCTGTGAGTTCATGTGTATGTATGTATGTATTATGTATGTATGTATGTATGTGCACTTGTGTGCACACTGTGTGGAAGCCAGAGGTGAACTCTGGGTGCCATTTTTCAGAGATTGTCCACCTTGTTCTTGAGGCAGGGACTCTAACTGTCCCGAAGCTCAGAAATTAGACTACGCAGGCTAGGTAGTGAATCCTAAGAATCCAGACTAGGCACTGAACCCTAGGAATCCATTTGTAAGCACCAGAATTATAAACAAACGCTGCTGTATCTTGCTTTTTAATGTGGGTTCTAGGGACCAAACTCAAGTCCAAAGTACTTCATCAGTTGAGCAATCTCTATAGTCTGTCAATGGTTTGTTTTGTTTCGTTTTCCCCCGAGATAGGGTTTCTCTGTGTAGCTTTGGTGCCTGTCCTGGAACTCCCTCTGTAGACCAGGCTGGCCTCAAACTCACAGAGATCCGCCTGCCTCTGCCTCCCGAGTGCTGGGATTAAAGGTGTGTGCTACCACTGCCTGGCAATGTTCTTATTTTTTAAAAATTTATTTATTTCAGCTAGAGCTGTTACACAGAGAAACTGTCTTGTAAAAACGAACAAACAAACAAACAAAAAGGGAAAAACATTTATTTTATGCACATTGGTATTTTGCCTACATGTATGTAATTTTCTTTCCTTCTTTTTTTTTTGGGGGGGGGGGGGGTTCGAGACAGGGTTTCTCTGTGTAGCTTTGTGCCTTTCCTGGATCTCGCTCTGTAGACCAGGCTGGCCTCGAACTCACAGAGATCCTCCTGGCTCTGCCTCCCAAGTGCTGGGATTAAAGGCGTGCACTGCCACTGCCTAGCATGTATGTCATTTTCGTCACAGCAATAGAAACCTAACTAAGCTAAGTGTTGTTTCATCTTCAAGTACGTGGGGTGGGGACAGTGCTCTTCCATCCATCCATATTTTTTTTGTGGCTTATTCCTGTTTGGTCAGGAAATAGACTGTAGGGTTCAATCATTTACAATTAATTAAATTTGTTTTATGGCTGAAGATATGGTATATCCTGGCAGATGATTCTTGTGCACATAAAAACTGTGTCAGGTGGGGCTGGGAGACGGCTCACGGGGTCAAGTGCTCGCACAAGCAGGAGGACCCGCATTCGGACCCTGGCACCCAGATGAGCGTGCACGGTGGCATGGGATGGGGGGGGGGCAGAGACAGGAGGAGCCCTGGGGCTTGCTGAACAGCTAATCCAGAAGAACCTGCAAACCCCAGGGTCAGTGAGAGAGACTGAGGAAGACACCTGATGTTAAATGATGGCCTCTATATGCACACACATGAACATGTGAACACACACACACACACACACACACTTAAAATTTTTAGAAAAAAAATTCATCCAGTAAGTGTCAAAACATTTTCCATTAAAAACAAAGCTGGGTCGTTTGTCGTGTTTTATTTGGAGTATTATTGTGTGGCTACGCATTCTTTGTGCTCCCTATAGAGTATAGGCTGGTTTTAAATTCATGATCCTCCACTTCCAGGCTCCTGAGAGCTAAGATTACAGGTTCTACTACCACACCCAGCTTAAAAGAACCTTCTTAAGATTGATTTCAGTTGTTTGGTCACTGGAAATGAATTCTCTCAGGTTTTGTTTGGCTTATAAAAAAGCCCTTTACTCAGGTACTTTGAAACCAAGATGATTGCTGTCCTTATCTATATGTAATAACCTCTCCAGCCATTTTAAAGATTTTCTCTTTATTAGTGGAATCCAGAATTTATGTTATGTGTCCTAGTGTTTTCTTTACATTTATTTTGCTTTTGTATATAGTTACAGTTTTAATCAAATTTGGAAAAAAATTAATCATTATGTGTTTTTTTTCCTCTCTAAATCTTCCTTTTCATTCCTCAGTTCATCAAATCTCGTGGGCTCTATTCAGACCTGCCTTCTTTTACTTCAGAAGCCAATTGTCAACAGAGGGCTAGGGAATCACTTCAGTTCTACTGCTTTCAGAGATTACCCACTAATGTCCACTGCCTGGAAACATACTTTGTTTTGTTCACCGGTCTTGCAGTTCCTTATGATGAAAGGTAATTCGCAGTTAATACTTGAGAGGCAAGTATAGAAGTATTCTAATATCGTGTGTGTGTGTGTGTGTGTGTGTGTGTGTGTGTGTGTGTGTGTGTGTACACATGTGAGTGCAGGTATCTGAGGCATCAGATCTTGGTGTTACAGGTGGTTGTGGATTCGGGGAACCAAATTCAGGTCCTGAGCAAAAGCGGTATGCACTCTTAACCACAGAGTCCTAATTCCAGATCCCGTCCCCGCTTTTTTAAAATTATTATTAAACACTCAAAATGTGTGCGTGTGTGCGCGCGCATGCGTGCCTGTGTTTGTTTATTTACCTTACAAAAGCCAGGTCGGGGCAGAGATACAGTTCAGTTGGTAGAGTGCTTTGGTAATAGTCACAAAGCCCGAGGGTTGCTCCCAGCACCACACAAGCCAGGTGTGATGGCACAGCCTCTAATTCTAGCAGCTGGGAGGTGGAAGTGGGAAGATCAGAAGTTCTAGGTGGACATTAGTCACAAGACTTTGAGCCTAGCCTGGGCTACATTAAGACCCTGTCTCAAACAAACAACAGCACCACCACCACCACCACCACCATGACAAAAGGCTGTCAGAGCAGAAGTCACCCTACCTTTGTAGATTTCTCTAATGGCTGATCACAGTGTGCCTGCTGCATAACGTCACTTACTATCATCTTAGCAATCTTCCAAGCCAGTTCCTCCTGGGCCTGAAAGAAGGAATTCAAACTGTTGATAATGACCATTCACTAGGAGGATCAAGATACATATAACCAGTCTTCCAAACACACCTGTCCTTTGGATAAAAAGCACCTTCCCATACATAAAAGAATCTGGGCACCTGTGGCTCTGACATATTAACATGTAATTCACTGTCTGACAGAGTCAGCTACTGAGTAGCCAACATCATGACTACTTTGTTTGCTGGTCAGAAGAGAACACTTTTCTCCTACTCCCATCTCTCGATGTACTTAACTATTCCAAAGACAAGCTTCCCTGCTAACACCACAACTGAAACTGGTGAAGAAAACATCTCCACTTCTGTCTCTACACTAATGACCTGGTGGTGGCTGCAGTGGCCACAGTCTCTGAAGATACCTTCACTGTTAACACTGGGCAATTACTAAATGCTAAGAGGAGCCTCTCCTGTTACAGACAGGATAAGAGGGCACTGATATGTCATCTGTGTAACAAGGAAAGCGAAGGAAGAGAACGTGGAGCCTTCCTGAGCCAAGGCAGGCCTTCTTCTTCTGTAAGAACACACTCAAGACTTACCTCATCAGTATTCCCTTGCACCCACTTCTTCATAGCTTGTGAGAACATGAATCCTAGCAAACAAAGCCAAAGTGAGTATGGATTTTAAGTGTAATTTTACATTACTAATGTTTTTAGGAGATATCACTTAGACATAGATATTCTTTCCTAGTGTCCCATTAAAAACATTAATAAGAACAGTTTATATTGCTTCTATAAGAGTGTTTAAAATCACTTTGTGGAAATTGTAGTTTAAAATTCTGGGTTTTCCTTCTACTCTTTTTACCAGATGAAGAAGATTAATGTTGGACTTGGAGCTAACCCTGAAAACCAACCAACCCACCCCTAACCAATACAATGGTTTGGTGTAAGACTCTACCAGCACATCAGGAGATGATGGATGCATCTGTTTTTCTCCTCAGTCTGAAAGAGTCCTTCAAGTATTCCCTTTCTTTGTCTTTTCTTTCAGTTTTTTGAGACAGGGTTTCTCTGTGTAGCCCTGGCTGTCTTGGAACTCACTCTGTAGAGCAGGCTGGCCTCGAACTCATAGAGATCCACCTGCCTCTGCTTCCTGAGTGAGTTCTGGGATTAAAAATGTGTGCCAACACCGCCTGGCAGTCTTTCTTAAAACAAAAACAAAAACAAAACTTTAACCAATTATTTATTGGGGACGAGTGGGAATTCGTAAGTGTAGAGATCAGAAGACAACTCAGAGGAATTGGTTCTTTCCTTCCACCCTGGGTGTCCTGGGGACTGAACTAAGGTTGTCAAGTTTGGTCACAAATGCCTTTACTCCCTGAGCCACCTCTCTAGTCCCAGGTTAATTCTTAAGGTAAGATTCTAATTAATTCAGCAGCTGAGATGAGCCTAGACATGCCATTCATGAAAAATACAAAACCCAGATCTTTTTCCTTCAATAACTTTTATTATTGAAGGTTAAAAAAAAAAAGAAAAAAATATTGCCTGACGGTAGTGGCACACATTTTTAATTTCAGCACTCAGAGGCAGAGGCAGGTGGATCTCTGTGAGTTTGAGGCCAGCCTGGTCTACAGAGCGAATTCAGGGACAGCCAGAACTGCATAATGAATATCCTGTCTCAAAAACAAAATAAGAACAAAAAGGTTTATTTATTTGTTATTATGTGTCTGTGCACATGAGTGCAGGAGCCCATAGAGGACAGAGCATTGGGTCCCCTGGAGCTGGAGTTACAGGTGGTTTTGAGCTACCCCATGTGGATGCTGGAACTATATTCCAGTCTTCCAAATGAGCAGCAAGCATTCTTAACCACTGAGTCATCTCATCTCTCCAGCCCTCCATTTAAGGTTTTAGATACTGGTCTGATCATCAGTTATTACAAGCAGAGTCACATGGCTGCTGAATTATTTACCTACTACACTACTCTCCTGCGATTGCTTGACTTTTAACCTTCAGTCTGGACTCTTCCCTCTAATTCCTGCTAGCACCTTATCCCACTTTAAATCCTCTTCTCAGTTCCAGTCCTACAGACTGACAGTCTTCTTGATCTCTCTCTCTCTCTCCAACACTATTTCTTTCAAATTTTACTGCCAGAGAAATGCTTCTGGCCAGCAGTCAGCTCTGAAATGCAGTACCATAGAGTTCACACGTCAATCTCCTTAATTTGGGAGGCATAGAAAGGTTCTCCAAAGACAGCACAGGGAGGGTGCCACCGGAGGGGCACATGCTCACATCTTTTTGTAATTCCTTCTTATTATTTTAAGATTTATTATTTTTATGCTTGTTTTTTGAGACAAGGTTTCTCTATGTAGCCTTGGCTATCCTGGAACTCGCTCTATAGACCAGGCTGGCCTCAAACTCAGAGATCCACCTACTTCTGCCTCCAGAGTGCTGAGATCAAAGGTGTGCATCACTACCACCCAGTTGTTTTTCTAAAATAATTTTAATTTATTTTATGTGCATTAGTGTGAAGGTGTCAGATTCCCTGGAACTGGAGTTACAGACAGTTGTGAGCTGCTATGTGGGTGCTGGGAATTGAAACTCTGCCCTCTGGAAGACCAGACAGTGCTCTTAATCACTGAGCCATCTCTTCAGCTCCTTAACTATTTCTTTTTAAAGAAAAATATAATATGATCTAAGTATTACTGGGTCTGGTCATATACCCAAATAACTGAAGGCAGGGACTCTCAAAGATTTGTCATGATGAATCATAGTGATATAACAAGTAACAGGTGGAGAGAATTCAAGTCTCCATTAACAGTTTTTATACAAAGGAATAAGGAATACAGTGTTGTATGCTAAGCATCCTTAAAAACCAGAACATTCTTGGGTTAGAGCCAGTGCTCTTAACTGCTCAGCCATCTCTCCAGCCCCTGCCAGTTGTTGTTTTAATACAGGGTTTCCCTGTGTAGCCCTGGCTATCCTGGAACTCACTCTGTAGACCAAGCTGGCCTCGAACACAGAGATCTGCCTGTTTCTGCCTGCCCTGGAGATGAAATCATATATGGTTGTGAGTCACCTGCCTTGAGTGCTGGGAACCAAACTTGACTTCTCTTGCAAGAGTAGAAAGTTTTTTTAACTGCTGAGCCATCTCTCCAGCTCCTTGCTATTTTTTGAAATATAACTTACTGAGATAAAACTTCTCATGGTTTCAGAAACCTCTAATAAGATATTCACAAGTCTTTAAAAAAAATACATATATATATATGTATTTTTTTATAATATATATTATATATTTTATTATATATATATATATATATATATATATATATATATATATATATATTATGGGGGGGCATGAATGTGCTCTGACCCAAGTGTGGAGATCAGAGAACAGTTCTGTGGAGTTGGCATGGGTTCCTGGGACTGAACTCAGGTTGCTAGGCATACATGGCAAGTACCTTTACCCAATGAGCCTTGTTGCCAGCCTCAGGATCTTTCTTAAAATTCAATCTTTTTCTCTGTGCTCTATTACCAGGGTTTCAAAAGCCAAATCAGAACTATAGGCAGCAAATGACAAAAAAAATCAGCTGTCCACAGCAAAGGCAGGCAGAGGAGGGGGGCTGAGCTACAAAAACTTCTTGCCAAAGGATAGTCTGAGTCAAACCCCTGGCGTGCTATTTGTGATGCTAGTATTAAGCCTTGATCTTGACAGAATCTAGACTTCCTGGGGAAGACCTGCCCATTGAGGGTGGCACCATTCTCTGGTTGGAGCTTTGAATTCTATAAATGATGAAAGGGAACTGAACAGCCACACACATTTATCAGTCTCTGCTCTTGCTCTGGACTGATGTGACTGGCTGCTTCCAGCTCCTGTCTCCTCAAGCTCCCGGCCATGATAAACTGGACCCTTGACTGTGAGACAGAATAAGCCCTTTCTCCCTTCAGTTGCTTTGGTTAGATTATTTTATTACAGAAAAAACAATTAATCTGCTAAAACCACAACTTCTTGAGCCCCCAGTTTCTTCATTTGTAGAAGAGGTAAGTATAGACACAGATGCATCATCAAAGAACTACATAAGCCTGAAAACTCCCTCAAGTAGTCACTATATAGGATCTGAGCAGGGAGGAAGGACTTTTTTTGGGTATCTGCAGACTAAAGTGTTACATATAGGAAAATTTACATGTCTATTCAAAAGGCAACCAAGTTTAAAAATAACTTTGTTCTTAAATAAAATACAGCCCATAATTTTATCACTCACATAATCACATAATGGAATTTAAAAACTAATCTATCAACAAAGGTTGACTAATATCTGCTAGGCACAATTTTAGAAACAGGGAATATACTGGCAATTAAGGATAAGACAACAGCCTTGAGTTCACAGTGCTAATGTCACAGTTACACAAGAGGAAAGCTATACAACAGTAAGCTGGTGGCTCATGTGGACAGGGAAAGCTTGTCTGAGGGGTAATACTGAGAGGAGGAGGAGGAAAAGGAAGAGGAGGAGGATCCAATCACTGCACACAGACCGCAGCAGGGCAGCAGCTACAGAAGGCGCTTTGAAGGAAGAAACTACAACTGTAAAGCACAGCTCAATTAGAGCTTGGCTTGTCAAAGACAGTGGTTCAAAGTAACACTACAGAGGCCAGAGGGGGCAATCGGAGGGTCCAGCAGGGAGGACAGATTTTACTTCAAGTGCAGTAGGATGCCGGGAGGAAGGAAGAGCGTGCATGATGAAGCAGTAGAGAAGCTGGGTGTGACCCCTTGATCATGCTCTGGCTCAGTCCTCAATTCTTGTTTCACAGAAGAGGATAAGGGGAATGAAAAGTAAAAGCTCACGGCCCTACATTTTGTATGCTTAATTGCTATTAAACTTTCTGTACATCTTTTCAGGTGGTATTTTAATATATAACTTCAATATTAGGGAAAGTCTCAATTTTTTTTTTGGCCTGGGACACACCACTATAGACCAGACAGGCCTCAAACTCAGAGATCCACCTGCCTCTGCCTCTCTGCTTCCCAAATGTTGGGATTAAAGGATCATGCCACCACAACAACACAGAGAGTCTGTTGAACAACTATAAATATTTCCTACCAAAATGTGTAATTTCCAGTTTACAAGAAACGCCAAGGAAAATTAGCTGAGTAACATAATTAGGAAAATCTAGAAGGCAGAGAATTCTGGAATTAGCCTGATATGTTTAACAAGTCAGAGGCCTAAGAAAGGAACCAAGCCAGAGAAAAACTGACAGACTACACCCTTTATTTATAGCTCTGGCACTTGGCATAGTTCTTGGCGCTCAGGATGACTGAAGTATTTTCCGAATGTAGCAATGACCACCAAAGGAAGTAGGGGCGTACAGATGTGCTTAATCAAATAGCATAAACTACTAGTCATGATTTCATGTAATGTGTCTTGATTAAAAGTTCAAGTAACAGGATGGAGAGTTGGATCAGAGGTTAAGAGCACGAGTTGCTCTTGCAGAGGACCTGAGTTCAGTTCCCGGCACCATATGGTAGTTCACAATCATCTGTGATTCCAATTTCAAAAGACAGAGCCCTCTTCGGCCCTCCTCCATGGGCATCAAGCACGCACATGATGGGCGCGTGTGCATGTGTACACACACACACACACACACACACACACACACACACACACACACACACACCAAACCTCATGTACATAAAATAAACCTTAAACTGAAACAAACCAACCATAATGATTTTAATGGACAGAACTGCTGGCAGAAATGTAATCCTGTTGCCTGTTCTAATGTAGCACAAACGAAACTGCTCTTCTACTCTGTGCCTCACTCATGAGCACCACCATTCCTGACTAGACTCTGACAAGAAGCCCCTTTACTTCTTCTCTTCAACTGCTGTGTTCTATTTCCAAATGGCTGCCAGAACAATTCCTTCAACACGTCATGTCCCATCACTTCTCTAACCCAACCTGCCATGACTCTCCATCGGCCTCTCTAATCTTTGCAGTGGTCCTTACCACCATCTACCATTCTTTTTTCTGATCCCTCTACTCCGAACACACTGGTCTTGTCCTTTGATCATGTGGTGTGCTCCAATTCAGTCCTCTTCCTCCTCCTCCTCCCTTCAGCTTAGACACCACTGGACTGACATCCCTCTCTTCCTAAACCTAAGCTAAACATTCTGAAGATTACTTTTCAAATACTACTTCCCACTTTTCTGACAATCCCTTATCCTGCATTTAGTTTATACTATTAGTACTTATGGCTAAGTACTGAACTTATACATAAGCTGTGCTTATCTGTTTACTGTCTCCTCACTGTCGTGAGTCACACAGAGACAACGGTACCTATTTTCTCCTAAGCACTGAGAGTGTCATATGCACAGTAGACACTTACTACATTTTAGAATGAATGGCATGAAGAGATTGAGTAATTAAGATGAACAGAAACAGAGAACTCAAAAGTCATTTACTGGGCTATGGGCACAGCTTAGTAGCAGAACACTGCTTGGCATGTACCAGGAACTGGGTGTAACCCCAGCACTGAAAAAGTGTTACATTTTCTTTACTCTCTATGTTCTTTTCAGCCAAACACCTTAGACATGTCTGATGAGACAGGAAATAAATCGATGAAATGGGTAAATAAGGTCAACTAGAAAGCAGACTGTTCTATATTACTTCAATAACTTTTGCTTTTTTTCTTTAAAAATGTCTATCTGACTTAAGAGTAGATCACTTATCAAGAGTGGTGAAATTCTCTATCAAAATATAACTGCATTAAGGCTCAGCAAGTAAAGCACTTGTGCAAGTGTGAGAACCTGAGTTCAATTACCAGCACCCACCAGAAAGTCAGGTGTGGTGGTGTGTGAATGCAATCCTAGCACTCCTATGGTAGAGAGGAGGTGGAGGTACCCACACTCATACATCTAAACATTACACACACAACCTACATTAAGAAAATATATATGTGTGTGTGTGTGTGTGTGTGTGTGTGTGTGTGTGTGTGTGTGTATTTAAAAATAGATCAAGCATAAAGAAGCCAGTGCTATTAAACCCAAAAGGAAGAGTAACAACAGCTCCTATTTTAAACATAATCAAGCAGGGCACTTTCTTTTACAAAGTTGGTATCATTTACTCAATGCAGTACAGTTGATCCAGCCACACTGACAAGTTCTAGATGTCATCTGAATGGATCCACATTTGTTTCCAAAATTTTCTTGTGTGAACCAATTATTTGGAACTGAAATCAGTCACAAAGAATGCATTTTTATAAAATTAAAAAAAAAAAAGACTTGAAAGGAACCGTTAGGTGTGCATGTATGCCTTTAATCTCAGTACTCAAGAGACAGAAGATGACAGATGTCTGTGAATTCCAGGCCAGATAGGGATATACAGTGATACTGTCTCAAAAAAAAAAAAAAAAAGTGGGGAGACAGACAAACTTGAGGGGCTAAGGAGAGGGCTCAGTGGGCAGAGTGCTTGCTATGTTCAGATCCCCAGAACCCACATTAAAAAGTTGGGTGTAACTGTCCATCTGCAACCTCACAGCTGTGATATGAGTTGGTGGAGACAGGCTGGGGGTAGGGCTTGATTGGTCAGGCAGTCTAGTTGAAAGGCAAATTTCAGGTTTTGTTAGAGATCTTGTTTCAAAAATATAGCCGGGCAGTGACACACACCTTTAATCCCAGCACTCGGAAGGCAGAGGCAAGCAGATCTCTGTGAGTTTGAGGACAGTCTGGGCTACAGAGTTGAGTTCCAGGAAAGGCTCCAAAGTTTCATAGAGAAACTCTGTCTCAAAAAACAAAACAAAACAAAACAAAAAAGGAAAATATAAGGTGAAGAAATGACTAAGGAGAACATTCCCACATCAATCTCTGGCTTCAACCCATGCCTGTGTGGGTGAGTGAATCTATGAATATATACTACAAACACACAAAATGAAAAAAAAAAAAAACTTTAAATCCTAAGACTTGACCAAGCCACTCTTCTATTAACTGTTAGACAAAGGATTTGGATTTCAACTTATTATTTTCTATACATATTTCAGAACGATTTTCAGTAATAGAGGAACTTTAATAAACCAAAGGATCACAAGATAAGCCACATGCCAACCTAAACTGAATGTATACCTTTAAATAAAAAGGAAAAAGTATATCCCTACTGCTGTGCCTTCTGTAGTAGCAAAGTCAAGTGCAATAACCTTTTATTCAAAGGAAGGGATTTGTAGAGGTATGGTACACAATGTCCTCACGCTCAGGTGTATCTATAAACACAGTAAAACACCTAGAAGTCACAACCACTGTAAACCTTAAATAATCCTTCACTTATACTTAGCATCTAATGTGAGCCAAAGCTTAATATAAAGAATAAAAAAATACTAATACAACCTTTTGATTTCTTTACATCAGGTTCAGGCTCAGATTCTCGGATGAACTGCCCCAAGTCACTGACTCTTCCAAAGGACATCTTCCTAAACATGATGAAAAGAAGAATGTAATTTCTAAAATTCAAAACCAAGTTTAAGTAGCTCATCTATAGCTCAAAAGCTAGAAACATAATTCATAGCAATTCAAGTTATTCAAAGGAAGATTTGAAACAACCTCTTTTCATGGAGACAATCTCTAATTCAATGGAATTCCTTTTAAAACCCCAAAAAAGGTTTATGAAATGTAACAGTAGGTAATTCAAGTTCTAAATTTCTTTCTTTCTTTTTCTTTTTCTTTTCTTTTCTTTCTTTCTTTCTTTTTTTTTTTTTTTTAAAGTTTTTTTGAGGCAGAGTTTCTCTGTGTAGTTTTGGAGCTGTCCTGGATCTCCCTCTGTAGACCAGGCTGGCCTCAAACTCACAGAGATCCACCTGGCTCTGCCTCCCGAGTGCTGGGATTAAAGGCGTGCGCCACCACCAGCTGGCAAGTTCTGAATTTCATACAGAGAATAGACATAAGACTAGCCAAGACAATTTTGCAAAAGAAGAAATAGAAAAGCCTGATTTGGTTTACATGATCAGAATACATGACAACTCAGGGATGAAACCGTAGTTCTGTAGTACAGTGTGTGCTAGCAGAGATGAGGTCTGCCTGGACTCAATCCTCAGTACTGAAGACAGAACAAAACAAAGACAACCAAAACCCTCTCCTAAACTCATGAGTGAAATCACCAAACACAGAACGAAGTATAATACCAACACAGTGTAACAGTGATTATGTGAGCAGGAAGGGAAGAAGATAATCCCTTGTGAGTGATTAAAGGGGACAATAAGCTTATGCTCACTTATTGCAACAAGTTCTTTATTTTATTTTGTTTGCTTTGGTGTTTTGCCTGCATGAATGTCTGTGTCAAAGTGTCAGAATTTGGAGTTACAGACAGTTGTTAGCTTCCATGTGGTTGCTGGGAACTGAACCTGGGTCCTCTGGAAGAGCAGTCAGTGCTCTTAACCGCTGACCCATCTCTCTAGCCAAAGCTTATTATTTTTTTTTTTATTAAAAAACAACAAAACTAGCCGGCCGGTGGTGGCGCATGCCTTTAATCCCAGCACTCGGGAGGCAGAG